TATTCAACTTCAATGCATTACAGCTCGAGAATTCAATTGTTATCCCAACCAGTTGATATCAATTTAATTCCTAAGAGTTATGTACTTGTTTTGAGTATCCAATTTACGAAACGGTCTAAATGAATGATATACCGAACGTATGTCCTCTTGTTATATGTAACACTTGGTAACTGACTGAATATATACCTTTTGTATTCTGATAACCCTCTCGAAAAGATCTGTTAGGTTTACATGCATATTCTATGTATTAATAAATGTATCCTCGTGTATTAGTACCTGTGTGTGTGCGTTGTTTGAGTTATATCGCATTGTTGGATTCTAAAGCCATCAAAAGAATCAATTATCAATTAATAATTGTCCCAGTAAATGCCCAAACCCTACAGAACTGGTGCCTTCAGAGAGCACACTACAGTACTAACAATGAACATAAACCTGAATCTGATAAAAGTAGCATGCTGTCCATACTACTTTTATGTAGATGGACTGACTTTCCAAACAGTATTACAATCTATGGTTCTAATATAGCACCTTGGTGCTATATTCTAGGTCAGACTCTTTTAAGAATAGAAAAATGGTTACAATTGAGATTAGGTTATTTGGTCCATCTAGCAATCTAGCCCTTTTAACACAATTGACACAATTTCTCGGTTTGCCTTTTTTATTGCTTCCTCATTTTGTCTAGGAAATGTAAAAATGATGTGTCAAGAAAGATATTTCAGTCTTTTTGCATAAATAGCATATTTTACTTTAGGTCAATATTTCCTGTTTAGTGTTTAGAGTTTGTTTTCACTATCTGAGTGCAAAACCCTCCTGCTGTCTACATTGAATGTAAATTGCCTGGCGTTTGCTCATTCTTGACTTTTAGCTAATCAATTTAATTTAAAAATAAATTTAAAGATAATTGTGTGCTTCTCAAGTATATCCTGTTCTCAGTTATAAATGTCTTTGTCCCTAGCAGTTTCACTTAACTACTACATTGCCAAAGAAGAAAGACCAGCTGAATTCCTTGGGTGGATGTGCAAACTGTCACAGCTGTTTTCGAGGAACAAATCTGAAGCTGGTTTGTGACAGAGACATAGCTTAAGACAGTGGTTCTCAGTTCTGAGAAACTGCTGCAGTCTTCATTGGTAGCTAATGGTGTTAATTGATATGCCACCTTGTGTAGATTTTTCTAGCCAGTCCAGTGATCACATTTCAGGAGACAATGTCAATAATAATAATCACACAGGTACATAGTTAGATCCTCGCTACCAGCTTGCAGTGGTCTCAAGTTGTGAAAACCACTGGAGATGTTTTTAGAAACCAAGCTTAAAAAAGGGAGATGCTATGTGAATTCCTTCTATGCTTGCTGTTGACAACAGACTACCAGTGGTGAAGCTGCCAGCGCAGGGAGGGACCTGTAGGATGTTACCACAACCAGACTGCATAGAGACTCGTGCCAGAAATGCTGGCAGGAAGTCACTCTGTGGGTTTTATGGGAATTGCAGTTCTGAAGAAAATGTAGCCATTTTATACCCAGCCCACCCTGTGACTAATGTTCCGGCAGGCAGCGTAAAGTATTAGCTACTGCCTGGCACGGATAAGTACAGTATTAAGACAGTGTTACACATACATTTATATCTGCCGAGGATAATTTGAACAACTTATTTTTCAAAATTACACAAGAAAATAATGTGCTCCCAATCTTCACTTACTGTAAAACAGAACTGCAGTAGGATGGGTCAGAAATCCAAGTTTGGAGACAGTTAACACAGGACTATCACTTGAATTGATTGATCAATTCAATCGTTTCACCGGAATCATTGATTGATCTCATCTCTGACTCTGAAGCACATGTTTGCTTAGAGACCACTGGCTGGCTTTTGGATCTCAGTGCAAAGCAAATACCAAAGCCTGAGTAACATGGCCTAAAAAATAATCCTTCCATTCACATTAACCTATCCTTGTGAGTTGGACTTTTCAGTGCTAACTTACTGTATATGAAGAACAAATACAGAGCTCTCGAGGTAGATGGTGATTTACATCTTTACCTCCGCTCAACAAATCCCCTAGTATTAGTTTTCTCCACCGCTGTGCAAGTGCAACCGTCTCATTGAGTTAGTATATTTTTTTCCACTATTATTGTATTTCTCATTTCATGTGGCAATATTTTTTTTCCACTGGGGATCACACACTTTTCCACTACTATAAAGGGGGTCGCACTTACAAAAAGGTTAGTACTGTTGTTCTAGGAAGTTAGTCTCTAGATAACTATAAAATGAGAATACCCAGAGAGACAGGATAAGAAGATACACAGCCAGAGCAGGGAGAGATAGAGAATGAAAAGGAGAGAGAGTAGAAGAACAGAAGTAAGAGAGGGAACAGATGGAGAGAGAAGAAGCATGCCAGGTGAAAGGATCTTGTTCTGATCCATCCTACAGAGCAGAATCTAGCTAAGTATTTGAACCTTGTTTAAAAGAGCCTCTCATTCTGTTAGTTTAGGAAACTGACTTAATGGGGAATAGGTTATCTCCTAGTTAATGATGCATTTTTAGAATAGTGAGATACAGTAGATTGACATTCACTGTGGAGCATCCAGGTTTATACAGTAGGAAGAGAGATTTAGCTCTGAATCATGTCCTGTTCTGTTATTTAGGATGCAGGTTTATCTCACTTTTTGGTCTGTTTAGACATTTTGTAGGATTTCTGAGATTTCTGAGGGTAAGCAAACTGTTTTTTTTTTTCTGGGACAGTAAGATCATAGGTCACTGAGATGCCTTGCTTTGTAAAAAGCATTGTTTTATGTTGTACTGTATGTAACATTGTATGTTGTCTATTAAAAAATAATTGATTATTTATTAGATTACTTCTAATTTATTTCTGTTTTACCAGAGTTGTGAGCAGAAAATAAAGAACTCAGGTGCCTCAAACTATACCAACCATTCATGTATATTCTCGGCATATTTGTGAGAGTTACAATTATTTTAATTATTGATTATCTCTATTTTCTTAACCCCTATTTGTAACAATATCTTCTGCGTACCTCACATTACTTTTACTTCAAAGCAGTTTTAACACCAACTGTTTTGTTTTCTTTTAAATCGAGTCATGCTATAAACCAGCATATTTTGAATTTTCTATAATACCTAACACTATAGCTTTCCCTATGAAAATAAAGATTTGGATAGAAATGTTTTGATTCTCTATTACACCTAGAGATCTCCACAGAAAAATATGACTTTTTTAGGAACCCAGAGATCATCTTTAGGTTATTTCTAATAGTGTCAGACAAGTATTGAATGATTTTGCTGTGGTACTCCTGCATCCTTAAATCACGTTGAATATTTAGTGCTGTACTAGGAAAGTGCTTGATACATTTAAAAAAAATCATTTATTGTATGGGTTGTAGATTTATCAAAAGCAAGCTACTGTACATTTACACAGCTGGGGTTTTACTGAAGCACTCTGTGTTCAATACAGTACCTGCTTAAAAGTACAAAAATAGTACCCTACCTGGCATTTGAGCTCACAGTTTTTCAGTTGAAGGCTAGGGAAAAGGAAAAGATCCCTTTTGAGGAGCAGAAATAACAAAACAGTAGTTATTCAGCGCCGGGAAAAGCCTGTGCAACAAGAAGCCGTCACCAGCATTTCTCAACAGAGAGGAATACTCTTATACAGGCTGGTGTGTGGTCATACACAGAGAAGAAAATTGCTTATGTGGTATATTGTAAAATTGTGTTTTACTTTTAAATCTGCTACCACCTCAAGATGGCAACCTGACACTGTTATTTTCCCTGTGGTTAAACTACACCTGCTATTTACTCTTAAAATACCTTACAGAAGCAACTAGAAAATAGACAATGTCTTCCACAAATGCCCAATATGGATTACAGATAATAAAAAAAAGAACACAAAAAATAACCCTTTAATAACTTTTCATAATGCACATTATCGTTTAGAAAATAATTTTGTTATTAATGGAGTTTATAACGGAAGTTTAGGAAGGATGACAATAGCCAAGATCAAACTCTGTTGTCAGTAATTCACAATTACAGCTGTAATTTCCTCACCTAAAAATAGTATGAATATTGTACATGATCCACATCTCTCCCTCACACACATCTCCTTGCATCCTATCTCCACCCCATCTCCACTTCGGCAGCTGCCATCGCTCTGCATTGGAGTCCCAGCCTGCTCCTCCTCCTGCATTCAGGAGGTTAGGCCACAGCTCAGTTAAATTTTGACTAAACACTCCATAATCCTTTTGGGACACTTAATTCTGGTTATTTCTAGTGAATTTTGTTAATGTAGAGATAAATTTAGTCCAGTCCCTAAAACAGGGGTTTCCAACTTTGGTCCTGGAGATCCTCACTAATTTTCATGCCACACCAGCTCTCTTCTATGAATGTCTTTTCTACTCCTGCTCAAAAGATCTTGGATTACTGTACTTACGAAAAGAGCAGTAACATACAGTATACGCACTTAAGATTCTAAACAGGTGCTTAGCAGAAACATTAAAAGTTGTTTAAAAAAGAAATCACCCACATACCACAATAATCACTGAAAAAAGGTATTTTATAATCGGAAAAAGGTCTTTTGTTAGCTTTCATTTTACAACAAACAGATTTTTCATTTTGCAATTTTTGGAAGTTTTCCATTGTAAAATACAGGAACCATTCAAGAATTGCCACTAATTAATACTTCTGTTGCTTAGTGTTTCTGTGAGTACCCAGCATTTTTCAAACATACAGTAATACTGTGTAAACTGTCATACTCCATGAATTTCATGTCATCATTATCTCAACAGATATCTATTGTGTTATTTTGAAATTCAAATTTTTTGCCACATACAGCATATCTTGCATTTTGGGACTAGCATGTTTTCTACTACATAGATTTGTTCAATTTTTCATCATCTTCTGTTCATGAGAGCGTCCTATGACATTGTTAATTTGTCTTAACTGTTCTTCAGTTTGAAACTGTACTCAGGAAGTATTTATTGTTAGTAATGTCATCAAAAGGAGATAGTGTAGATTTAGTTCTTAAACAACTACATAATCTTTCATTTAATACTTTGTGTCAGGCTCTTGTCTTCACAGTTATAATAAAATGAAAATCCATACTGTGGTGGCTACTTCAGAGGTATCCAGCAGGAAAAAGGTGAATTACTGTATGTTTTGTATAAATGTGAATACAAAATATCTGGATTATTAACAAAAATGGATAGTGTAGTATTTTAACACAAAGCACTATCAATCATTGTTCATGATAGCCTGTTCTAAAGATTACAAGGCTTTAAATTTTTATGCCTAGGGGGAGGGTGGTGTCAAATGTGAGTTTCAGCAAGGTTAGCAGTGTTTAAACGTCCTAGCTTGCCATGTTAGACTGCCATGTTAAAGAATAAACAGTTCTTCAGCAGTAACTGCCTTGTTTCTAGAGATCTCGTTTAAACTAGCCTGCATAGGAATAGAACATAGATAAATATGAGAACAATGATACAGGACAGGTCATAGAGAAAGAAAGACAAGAGAGAGGAGGACACAGAAGAGAAGACAAGAGACAATAATAGGGAACATCATCGTTACCCTCCTCTTCCTCCAAAGCTTGTGCTATGCAAGAGATTGTTGTTTAATTAGTAATAATGTTCTTTTTGCCTACTGGATTCTGTGTCAATAATATGAGCATTATTATAAAAGAGCTTACTTCTGATATATATTGCCTATATTGTGTAATATTATATAATGTATTAGTGCAAAACCATTCTCTCTTATTTTAGTGATGCATTTGTAGAATATGGAAATTTGTTCCCATTCAGGATGCAGGTGTTCTGTCTTTGGCCTGTTAAGGTTTTTAGTTGCATATTTGGATTTTAAGGGCAGAATTATGGATTTTCTAGGTATCAGGATTCTGGAATGCACAGATTATACATATGTACAATAGTGTTGCTGTTGTTTGCAGTA